TAGGCACGTGGATCCATACCCCAGATGGTGGGCGCCATTTTGTTGGTGTACAAAAGAGTTCCATAATAGCCCTGAATAGAGTATATCAAAGGTTTATCTTTTGGGGATGAATTCACAGAAGAGGTTATGATCAGCAGTCTTCTGCTTGTGCTGGGACCTGGAACTCAGTCCAGCAGCAAAGAAGCTCAGACACAATTTTTTTTTGCATTTATATTATATAAGACCATGGCCAAAGTGAGTTGGTATCTTAAAGGCTATTAGCTGAAGGATTTCCCACAGCAGACAACACAAAATATTTTATTATAACTTTTCCCCATGGTTTTTGCACTTTCTCTTCAAATGAGAAATTTGGATATAATTATATATAATCCCATTTTTAGAATCAATCAATTGTAGAATATATGAAAGACCTCAAGGCTGAGAAAAATATCAATACAGTGTTTATGTATAATGTAATTGTAATAGTATGTATAAATCATTGTTTATTTATCTAGAAAGTATTTAATAAAACAATGAATTCCAAATTTAGTTCAGTCAGGTTCTGCTGTGGGACATTGGTCTGTACCCTGTCATTTGTATTTTAAATAAACGCTGATTGGCCAGTAGCCAGGCAGGAAGTAGAGGTGGGGTGATCAGGCAGGGAGTAGAGGTGGGCCAACTACTGTTCTGGAAAGAGGGAAGTTTCCGTCTGCAGTCATCAACCAGATGGAGAAGAAGCCAGACACAGAGCAAGCAAGATGTGACTGCCTCACTGAGAAAGGTACTAAGCCACATGGCTAACACAGACAAGAATTATGCGCTAATATAAGTTATAAGAGTTAATAAGAAGTATGAGATACTAAGCAAATTTGTTTATAAAATGTAGACCTCTGTGTGATTTCTTTGGGACTTAACGACTGTAGGAACTGGGCAGGACGGAAACATTGGTCAACAAGGTCCTTTCTATCTTGGCATAGTTTTTGAGTTCATGCATACATATGAGGAACAGATTCATGTGTCATAGTCTCCTTCCACTTGGCATCCCACAATATAGTAATTAAGCTTTAAAAATATGCACTCTTTTATTATATATTTCTATTTGTCTTTAAAATTGTAGTCAAGTGTCTACCACCACTGCGTGGAACAGTTATTTTCTAAACAATTTTCTCTGGCGATCTGTTCAGCAGAAAGCACTCACCCGTTTCTAAAAATTGCTAATTTGACATTGTTTGGGTCATAATATTTTTTATTTTACATAAATTACATTATCCAATATACTGAGTTTATGTTTTGTGTCTTTCACAAAGAAAAAGTGTATTTAATTTTCATCCATTTTATTAATCCCTTGCAACAGTAATTCATGAATTTATTGTTGAATATAATCTCCATTGTATTAAAGACAAAAGTTGAATTATCAACTATTGTATTAGTCTTCTTGATGTTTCTATAATGAAATGCATCAGTCTGAGAAAGTAAAAGAACAGTGACTGATTTGGCTCATAAATCTGAAGGTCCAATATCAGGTGCCGTAATTGATTTTATCCATGACTAAGGATCTTGTGAAAGCAGAAAAATATTGAAAAGGATTAAGTGGTTAAAAAAAGAGAGAAAGGAATTTTTTCTTTATATTTTATAATACTTCATTTCCATGAATAGTGACCCAGTTTCCAATACCAACTTATTAATCCATTATAATCATATTTCACTTTGTCCATCTCATAAAAGTTCCACTATACTTGATGGAGTTGTATTGGGAACCACGTGAGAAGAGGTTTATAACACATGATTCCTTAGAAAAGATACTAAAATCACATAATTTTAAATTCACAATTAGAAACTTTTTATTTCCTGTTGAAGCAATAATGTATAAAGCTGTCATGGACAATTGCATAGTGTATGTATGTTTGTAATAATTTCCCAATTATGTAATAAGAAATGATCTCTAGTAATAAATTTAGTTTTATGTTAGATTATGAATAAGACTCATTTTCATTTGTTTTATGCTTGCAAATTTTCATTAAAATTATTTTAAAATTATATTAGCTTCATAAATATGAAAAACAAAGACACTTCTCTAGCCTTTAATAGTTGTGGCTGTTATTTCATTCATGCATTGGTCATCTCATTCCAGTATTCTTTTGCTTATGGACTCTGAGAAGAAACTCTGTTATAGTCCTAGCATGGCTCCATTTGACACTATGCACCTATTTGCTCTTTAAGAATTTTCTCTGTCTTTTACAGAAATGAGTTGAATATGATAGTTTGTGTTTTAGTTTCTTTTCTTATATTGCTTGAACTTTTATATTTGTCCTGCTTGGTTTCTGAGGATCTTTTGTGTCTGTTACCACTTAAAGCATTAACCTTAATCTTTTTCTGTGTGTTTCCTTATTCTTATTCATTATATTTTAACTGTCTAGATATTTAAAAAAATATTTATAGACCACAGATACTACATTCTTTGCTGTTCTTCAAATGTTTCTTGTATCTGAATTTCTCAAACTTTTGGGATTTTTACTGATTTATGTTTACACTAGCTACTTATCTCATAAAATATTCATAGGATACTGAAAATTACATAAAAATATTCAATTTTCTTGAATTATAAAATATTTTTATTTAACTACTTTCTACTGTTTCCATCATGACACCAAATCTATCTGTCTAATTTTTCAAGTGTCATACGTTTTCTGTTGCAGACTTGAACACACTAACTACAAAAATTTCACAATTTGATCCTCACAGGATCAAATCTGATTGGATTCCTAAGTATAGTCTTTATAATTGTGTTGTTTCTTGGTGTGTGTGTGGGGGGGGTGAATATACAGAGTGCATATGTCTTTATGTATGCGTACATGTGAAAATTGAAGGTCAATGTGAAGTGTTTTTGCCAGTTACTCTATATTGCTTGAGACAAAGTCTTTTCCTGAAGTTGGTATTTATTAATTCAGCTAAAATGCTCACCCAGAAAACCACAAGGATCCGCCTGTCTCTGCCCTATCAGGATTGGACCACAGGTACACACCACCGCATCAGTTCATCCCTGTGGACTACAGGTACACACCACCACATCAGCTCATCCCTGTGGACCACAGGTACACACCACCGCATCTGCTCATCCCTGTGGACCACAGGAAGCCAATCTCAGCTTCAAAATATACTGAGCCATTTTCTCATCTCTCTTTGTTTTCTTACATAAAGCACTTTATCAAGTGTTTGCATAATTCATACATAATTTGAAACTTTCAACAATATGTTGGAAGCCCCAATTTATATTTATGATATACATTATATATATGAAATCAATATTTTAGATTTTAATTAGAGAAAATTCAATGATCTTCAGTGAGTGCAGTCAAATGCTCAAAGTCTAGTTATTCCTCTGGTTTCCTCTTAGTTTTTTCCTATGATCTGTTTCTGTGTTGTACACATAACCATGTATATATTATAATATATATATTATATTATTGTCAGATATATGTCTGACATATATTGACAGATATATGTCAATATATGTCATATATGTCAGATTATATATATATATATATATGCACATGTCCATATAAAATCCCAGCATCTATTAAGCTGACTAAAGAAGTGAGGCATCTTTCTCCTTGAGGATTTACCACAAAGATCTATTTTATCAGCAGAGAGCTAGGCATGTCTTGAAGTCTGAGTTCTACTTGAGAAAATTTGGAATGCTTGTTCTTCAATTTGTACCTTCCATTTATACTGCTTCCGTGAGAATCTCTCCTTGGTGTCCTGTGGTGATATTTTGTTTGTCCTCTAACAAATAAAGCTTGCCTGGAGTTCAGAGTGCAAAGCTAAACCACTAGTAATCCTTACAGGCCAGGGATGGTAGTACACACCTTTAATCCCTGGATTTGGGAGACAGAGGCAGAGGAATGTCTGTGAGTTCAAAGCCACTCTGGGCAGCATGAGATTGATCCAGTCTAAAAGAGAAACAGAGAGCCAGGTGATGATGGCTCACACCTTTAATCCCAACACTACGGAGGTAGAGACAAGAAGGGTTATAACTTGGCAGAGAAAGGAATATAAGACAGGAGGAGACAGGGGCAAAAGATATTTAGTCTGGGGACTTGTAAAAACAGGTTACCCCATTCAGTCTCAGGATCTCATAGAGATAAGAACTAGTGTCTGGCTTCTCTGCTTCTCTGATCTTTCAGCTCTCATGTCCTAGTATCCAACTCTAGGTTTTTATTATTAAGACCAATTAAAAATTGCTTACCTTCTCTGAGGAGTGCATGGGAAATGGGAAAGAGTGGGGCAGGAGAAGGAAAAAGAGGGGAAACTGGAACTGGTATGTAAAATGAAACGTAAATGCTTTAGTAAAAATGTGATAAAAAAAAAAAGAACTTGCAATACTTCCCAATCCATATTATCATCTCACCAGTGGTACTATCTCCTTACAGGGGAGAAGAATGGAGGACGTTCTGAGAATAGTCACAGACAGGTTCTTCAAAAGTTCTCCTGCTCATCTTTAAGATAAGATATTGATTTTATGTCATTTCTTCCCAAGCCAAACTTGTTCTACCAAACCAGAATGCTGTCTTTTATCTGAATAATAGTGTTCTACACATAGGGAAGAAAGACCAATGGGTGGATTCTAATATCTAGCACCATGATGCAAGATTATTCATAACTGACCTAAATGATGTTTTGACCATAATGTGGTATTCAGTGTTCGGAGCATCAGGGGAGTGCAGAGCTTGCAATAGTGTAAATTTTGTCTTTTCTCTGACTAGGTATAGTTTTCTAGCTTTTTTGTTCCTGACTTGGGTGATTTTAGATGGCAATGGCTGGCAGACACACGCAGAAGGTCTATTTCATTTTTGAGTGTGGTATCTGTCCTCTGGGTAGCAGTGTTCGTAAGGTGATTTGTGTATGTGTGATCTCAGTACTTTTGCACTTCAAGAAAGCAATTTGTGATTTGTCTCATTTTATTTTTCTAAGAATGAAGTCAAATTCTTATTACTGATTGATTGAGCATGCTCAACCCAGAACATACCCTTAAAGAAGAAATAAACAGAAAGATCTCTTTAAATCACTTTTATCGTTTACCAGCGTGAAAATTGAAGATTTCGCGTTTGAATGGGAAATGGGGAGATTTATTACGAAGACCTGGCCAGAACCAGGCTATGATAAATTCTAATCTAATACATTTCAGTCTTAAAGAGATTGAGTTATTTTCCTTTTGCTGTTTCTGATAATGAGACGGATTTTAAGATACCACTGAGTAAATCCTTTAATGTTTTGTTTATATTAAATGTAGATGTGACATTTTAGAAACATTTGGAATTTTAGTGAGATGTCTGAGGCATAGCACCAAAGTTCAATATAAGTAAATTTGTACGACTCTACCTCCTCAGTGTGAAGGAATACAGAACATGAATCCATTATGTGATCATTACGAAAAATGTGTCTAAAATCTTTAAGATTTTTTACACCTGTAGTGGGAGACTGTTGGTTTTCAGCCACTCGGCTAACGTAGACCTGAAATAATAAACAGAAACTGTATTAATTAAATCATTGCTTGGCCCATTTACTCTATCTTCTTATTGGCTAACTCTTATGTATTAATTTAATCCATTTCTATGAATCTGTGTATCACCACGTGGCAGTGGCTTACCGGCAAAGTTTTAGCATGTATGAATCTGGTGGCAGCTTCATGGCTTCTCCCTGACTCTGCCCTTCTTTCTCCCAGCATTCAGTTTAGTTTTCCCCACCTACCTAAGTTCTGCCCTGCTATAGGTCCAAAGCAGTTTCTTTATTCATTAATGGTAATCATAGCATTCAGAGGGAAATCCCACATCAAAAGAATTGTTTTTAGATCTATTACGGATTATTATATACTTAGATATCAGAGAACAAACCATTTGTTTTCTCAAGATTATTACTGTCCTTTTAGCAATTAAATGATGTTGAGTGGTTACACATCTCACTCTATATCTAGAAGACAAGATTTAATCAAAAACTCATGAAATAATACCTATTAAGTGCTATTGGCCTCTATTGTATAAATAAGTTCCCCAAGTTGAGTTGCTTTATGAACTTTACACACTAAAAACGTACTTTTTTTATTATAGCTTTCAATGAGTTTTGTTTATTAGAAGACAGACAAACCCAAGAAGTTGATCAATCAAACTTCATCTCCAAAGGGGAGGGAAAAAACCCTACTGGATAGATTTATTAAAATTAATGATTTACAAACGCTCTTGAAAAAATAGTTAATTCACAGCAAAACCTTTCAAGATCACAACATGGAACTGGGGTTTGATCTCCTCCACCTTTGTCCCCTTATGCATATTGCCCAAAAGTTTTAAGAAAAAATAAATAATTGATAAGAAAGCAGAAGTGTAGGTATTGAAACATTAGCTTCAATTATGAAATTGTCTAATTAAATGATAATCCATGCATCTGAATAAGAAAATAGTATTTACCAACATTTAGTAATTTTAGCCTAAATTAATGTTAATATGTATAATATCAAGCTGCTACTAAAATCTAACTCTGAGTATAAGTATGGCAAATTAAAATCTAGGTGGTCTTCCAAACCACCAGGTTCCTATTTGTGTCTTCTTTGGCATAGTTATCCATAATTGAAAGAATAACAAACACAGGATGAATCCAGTGAATAGGGGTAGGTAACATATCTCCAGATACCATTTAAAACAACCATGGTGTGAGTGTGGGAAACAACATAGAGTAGAAAAGTCTCTGTGCAGCTGATCCATCCTTAATTATGTTTAACTCAGCACCAAACCTCCTGGATTTGGTAATTTCTGGCTTCATTGTTTATAACTGAATATTGTCCTCTGCTCTTTTGGTTGATAATTCTCCAGAAATTAGGAACTGTTATTGCAAAGAGAAAAAGATAAAGCATTTGGATAACAGGAAAGAAAACCACTACAAAATATTTTGGTGGCAAAAAGTAACATGATGAAATTGTAGCGAAGAACGAAAGAGAAATAGTCTTCGTAAAAACTCGATTTATACTGAACATATAGTATAGAAATATTGTACTGCAGGATATTCCAGTGCAACACGGTATTTTACTAAACAAGAATACGGAACTTTAAAAACCTTCCAGGAAACAATCAAAAAAGAATACAGTATATGAAATATGGATTAGAACTCATGATGTCAAAAGGACAGAAATAGATATGCAACTGACTGAAATAGGAGTCAAAGAAGGAGTAAAAATATATACAGGAAGTGAGGAGAAAATGTAAATGCTGTAAAGATTGAACAGACCCAAATGCTAAAGAGGCAAAAAAAAATAAAATTAAAAAAAATCATGTTAGAAACTCCCATAGCATAAAGAGAGAATCTTTTAAAAAGACACAGCTTGAAACAAAGAATCTCAGAACAATAAGCAATTCAAATCAAATCAGTCTGGGAACTATAGGCAACATTTTCAAAAATAGTGTCAGCTCAGGTCCTCTTTTTGGCAAACAGAAACTTGCTTTTATTTTTTGAATTGCATTTTTAGGTCACAGATTCCAGTGGACATCAGGATGTGTTCTCCTAGGGCAGAGCTTGAAATTCTTCTTAAGGATAAAGGAAAGGTCACTATGGAGGTTTCTTGGATTCTAGAGAATTATGACTGCAAGATAAATTTAGATCTATACCTCATGGGTGCAGCACAGAAAGAATAAGCCAGTACCATTTTGATAGGAAATAATCTAGCAAGCAGAAACTCAAAATACTCACACTTTTATCTTCCTGCAGATGTTCAGTCAGTTCATAGAGCACTCACTACCGTGGAATCTGGCTTCTGGGTGCCAAAAGGTAACTCTTCCTTAGACTTTCCTTCACAACACCAGTGGCAGGATACTGACAGATCAATGTTTTCAGAGAGCAAAAACAAAATATGAAATCATAGTTTACAGGGCAACTAAGATGATATAAAAATAAATAATATAAAATTATTACTTTTATATACAAAAGTAGTAGCCTAAGCATATACTACAATATATATATATATATATATAAATCAATTGAGATTTATTCAAGGAAATATGGAAAACTTAGATGAGTAACAATTTTATGAAAATTACTGACACCTGCAAACAGTAACTCAGACGAAATAGAACTTATATTGACATAATTATAAGGTTTAATCATACTAAATATCAATATTGTAATACAGAGGGCCTAAAATTGGAAAAGAGAATGTTGAGATACAGTCTGGTCTGGTTCGAGAGAAAACTGCAGATAATGACAAAAGTCTGTAGGGGAAACCGTGTACAAGTTAGCACACCTGATTAATAATCACAGTACTAAAAAACAATATGTAATCGGTTCAAATCAGCAAAAGGGACATTTGCTTTTTAGAATCAAAAAGGAAAGAGTGCAATGAGCATGAGAAAAAAATGTATTAATAGAACTGTTACTAATACATATGCAGTGCGATTAAAGTCCATCTCCCTGAAATTGGGCAAAGCACCTCAACGGTCCTGGCTTTGTCATAGCATGGACATTTCAAGTATATTTCTTGGTTCCTTGGGACTGTCAGTGCATGTGTGCAAAAGTAGCATACCTAACAGAAGCTATATTAACCTTTATGATCAATATTTGGACATACCAAAGTCTTTATTGTTGCCAACCAAACTGGATCAAATGCACTCTATAATTATAGAAGAAACTATAAAATTATATCTTTCAAAAGATCTCATGCTATTGGAAAATATTCTTGTAGACATCTTTGTAGAAATTTAATTTGTTAAAATTTTCTCACATATATACAAACTGTTTAAGTGCCTGCTCCCCGAAGCTGTCTTATCCTCTTACAGCACTGAGTCATTGACATCTTAGAGTTCATCAGGTGAATGAGATTTAGCTCTACTTGTTTCCCCATAGGTTATAACCCTTGCATAGAACTTCTGTGGTACAATTTAAATCTAAAACAAAGCTAAAGAAATAATTTATTCTTTCACCCCAACATAACTCAATTGTGGGAAAGAAATAAATTAACAAGAACAGACATCCCTACCCAAGAAGGGATCTTTTTAATTATTAGTCCTTAATAGACTTTAGAAACTATATGAACGTGTGTTGTCAGTGCACAATTGGATGAAGATCTTTCTGCCTGAAAATTCAAAGCAGATATGTTGTCCATTCCTTAAGCTATGGGTTTGGATCTCTTTATTGTATGCAGTATGGTCTGTTTTATATTTTTTGCCTCTTCCTTTAAATTATCTTATTTTATAACTCCTAACAGAATTTTCTGCATTTTTCTTTATGTGTCCACTTATACCCAGATCCCTTAAGCAAGCTTTCATTTTTCATTTCAATTTTCATTAAGCAAGTCTTCTTTTACATACTCTATATGTTGAGTAAGAGTTTCCACAATGCTTTTCTTGCCTCTATCACTTAACAATCATCCCATTAAGACTTTGTACGTGATTCCTTGCTGTTTGTACTTCTGATATTTTTGTGTGTAACAAGTAACTCTAGAAGTTAATGACTAAAGCAACTCTTTCATTGAACTCACTGACTTTGGGAAAAAAAGCAGTTCAGGATAGGAGCACAGGGAACAGTTTCTTTTTGTTTCTTACTAACTAAAAGTTCAGTGTAAAGGAGTTACAAGTTGACACTGGACAGCTAGATGGGGCAATAATACCTGGAGACTTTCTTATCTGTATGAATTACATGTTAGATTGTCCTTGTTGTCACTAGATGTCTCACTCACATGGAATGACAGTTAGCTATTAGAGAACCTCTCTATCACCTATATTCAGTTGTTCTTCATAGCTTGAGCTTCCTGACATCATGGTGACACTGTATTTATTGCAAGGTATTCATGCGCTTGACATTGAATATTCCAAGTTAAATTTTCTAATATGCTGGGTAAGTTTTAACACTACTTTAATAGCAACAATTTAAAAAGAGAAAGATGATTCACTTTGAATCATAGTAGCAGAAGCTGCAGACTATGGTTGACTGGTTATGTTCCTAGGTGCTTGAGCTGATGTTTAAAGTTATGATGAAAGAATGAAGTGCAGTAAGGCAGCTCACCTTATAACAAGTAGGAAACAGAGGAAAAGGAAGAGGACAGGATGAAACTTTAGAATTTTCTTCCAAGAAACTTATTTCCCCAAAGTACATCTTGCCTCTTACTTTTTGCTTCCTAATGATGCTATTATTGTAAACACATGGAGGAATTCACCATCAACACATTGGGTCAGAATAGTCAATATTTAATCACTTCCCAGATAAAACGAATCATAAAATTCCAGACACGTTAATCTGTGGGAGACATTGATACTCAAACCACAACCTGATCAATTACCATAATCTAGTTTGTGGTATGACAACCACTTACTTGTTGAGAAGTCAGAACTTGGACTGAGTGATGTTGATTCATCTGTTTCAATGACGCTTTTTTCTGAGATAGCCTGACAGGAACCCTATTGTTTTGTGTCATGTGACTCACTTACATGGCTAGTACAATAGTCCTGGGTAGAGTATGTGAATTCATCCAGAAACCTGGTGGTACGTGTGTGTGTGTGTGTGTGTGTGTGTGTGTGTGTGTGTGTGTGTGTGTGTGTTTCTCTCTCTCTCTCTGTCTGTCTATCTCTGTCACTGTCTCTGTCTCTGTCTCTGTCTCTCTCTCTCTCTATCTCTCTCTCTCTCTCTGTGTGTGTGTGTGTGTGTGTGTGTGTGTGTGTGTGTGTCTATTGAGGTTGGGGTTCATTCTTTTCATGTGAACCTATCCATTTACCTGGGCTTCATAAAATAATGTTTCAATTCCAAGAAATGGTATCTCAGCAGTATCAAAAGTAACTATTTTGTTTTTATTAACCTAACTTGCCATCATTTCTCCATTCTTCATTCATTGACCCAGATAAAAGTGGGGGAAATTCACTCTGAGTGAAAGGAATATCCAAAGAGCATCAAAGGAAAATAATGGACATGTAGCATTTAAAGCTTAGACCATGTAGACAGGGATTTGGATACAAGGTGACCAAGGAAACAGCAGCTGTATCTTCATGGCTGTGATAACAGTCAAAACAATTTTTTTTTTGCATAAGCATCCTCAAATCCACTGTTAGGTCCTCCCTTCTACATCAGAAATAAAGGTAAAATGACAAATGCTAGCCAAGTGTAGTAAGGGTCTATATATCTTTCACAGATTTCTTATCATATCTATTGCATTGTGAGTTGGCTCTCCTGTTTGCCTTCAGGTATATCTTGGGAACACATAATTTAAAAGAAAGACTTTGTCCACTATGATTTAGGAAGAAGTAAAGAAGAATCTTACTACCATGAACATGCCATTGCCTCACAGACGTTCACAAAACCTCTGACAGGACAGAAAATCCAAAATCTTTTTTGGGGAACCTGTTCTAGGCATTCTAGACTATAACATTTTTTCTCTTTTTCTTTGTTCAATTAAACCTGTCTAAAAATTTCTATTAATTGTAATATTTTCTTTGAAAAATGAGAACTAGAGAGAACTCAAGCCTGGTGTTGTATGTATACATTTAAATGAGTGATAAAGTATTATTTTACCATAATAATTATTTTAATTTCAGTATGTTTGTAATAATATGGGAGTCTAGATGTCTGGGGGTTTTTGATCAATTTGTGTTATTGCATCAAACAAATAAGCTTATAGAAAACATGTTTTTAAGATAGAATCTTGGGGTTTATTTTTGTTACCTCTGTTTCTTCTAGCTAAATAGGAATTAAATTTTTGATTTTGTGGCGGCAGTTAATCAGTAGCTTTTACATTTCCACAGAATGTCTTAAAACAATAAATGAAAATTATCTTAATTATTAAAACCAGGTGGAAATAAACAAATCAATTAACATCTCTCTGATTATAAAATCTGTTAATAATGTACAGTATTGAGGAAGACTTAGTTGTACTTCATTCCTTAATTTAATTTTTTATTTTATTGAAAGTGGATTTTTATATATAATATATCCTGATTACATTTTTCCTTCCCTCTACTTCTCTCATTTCCTCCTCATCTCCCTTCCATTCAGAACTAACCCATTCTGTATCTCATTAGAAAACACACAGTCTTCTAAAATATAATAATGAAATAAAATAAACCAAAGACATTGGAATAGGACAAAACAAAAAGAAAGAGGCCAAGAGAAGAAAGCATAAGAATCAGATATGGATACAAAGACTCATTCATTGTATACTCTGGAATTGCACAGAACAAGAAGACCAAATGCCATAAGTAAAGACAAAGGACCTGTAAGAGAGAGAGAGACAGAGAGAGACAAAAAGAGACACAGAGAGAGGTAAAAATAAAAATAAATTTAAAAAATAAAATTTAAAAAGATGTAAAGAAAGGGCCCTGACAGGACATCATAATAGAAGACACTTCCAGATACATCCCTGAGTCCTGCTTTTGTTGTCCATCTGCTGCTGGGCATGCAACAGGTCATTCTTGAAGAGTTTAACTCTTTAATTGTGTAACACTGTGACTCATTGATAATGAAAGCAAAGTCAAAGTTTTCCATAATGTGACAAAAGATAATGGATTATTTTCTTTGCACAAAATGACATTTTATACCAACAATTGAAAATCATGGTAAGAATACATTTTGTCTGTTCAATTCTTAAATAATATAGTATTTATATTACTAATACATAGAATTCTTTCTATTTTGCACATAAATATTAGTGGAGGGTACTTTTGCATATTTGGTCTTATAGAACATGAGTATTAAAGAACATTAGGGTTTCTATACATTAATACCAAACTTAACATGGCATTAAATATGAATTAAGCTCTGACTATATCAAAGCCATCATATAGATTTTGAAAAGGTATTTATTTTCTTTTCTAAAGCTCGGATTTTCAATGTAT